CTAACTGCCCTCCCCTGCAGGCCATCTTGTGGTGGCCATCTTGTGTCCACATGGGGGCAGCCATCTTTGACCATATGAGAGCAGCCATCTTGTGTGTCGAAGTGATGGTCAATTTGCATGTTACTCTTTTATTAGATAGGATGGGGCTTGGCTCTGGCTGGTGTTGTAAGTTGGTTGGAGCATGGGGCTCGGTTCGAGATCAGGGCATGTATCTAGGTTGTGGCTATATCATGCATGGAAGGCAACCAATCAATGTTCTCTGTTACATGGATCTTTTTCTTTCTCTCTCTCTCTCCCTTCCCTTCTCTCTAAAATCAATGAGCATATTTTCAAGTGAGGCTTAAATATATATTTTTTTCTGCTATTTCCCTTGATTTCCATGACAACTATCTTGATTCTCCTTAAACCACCTGCTTTTAGTTTCCTTTGACAGATCTTTCTTTTCTGCTCTTTAACTGTTGGCTTCTAAGGGTACTATACATTTTCATCACTTCTCACAACATTATACATTTTCTCTGGGCCTCTCATCTATTATCTTAGTTTCTATTAATATCTATTTCCTAACAAGTCTCAAGTCTTCATATACAGCCCTAACTCCTCCCTTATACTGTAAACCTCAGGTTGTCAAACTTTTTAATAAAGGATCAGATGGTACAGGCTTTGTGGGCCATAGGATCTGTCAGAATTACTCAACTCTGACTTTATAGGAGAGCAGCCATTGACAATATGTAATTGAATGACCATGGCTGTATTTCAATAAACTTTTATTTGTGCATAGTGAAGTCTGAATTTCATGTAATTTTCACATCACAAAATATTATTTTTACTTTTTCAGTCCTTTAAAATAAAAATAAATAAAATAAAATTCTTAGGTCTATAGCTGCATTATTCAATATACAATAGTAGTCATTTACTACATGTGGTTATTTACATTAAATCAGAAATAAATAAAAGTAAAAATTCAATTCCATAGCCACATTTCAAATGATCTCAAGTCATATTTGACTAGTATAGATGTGGAATAGTTCTGTCATCACAGAAATTTCTATCAGATAGGTGGCTCTAGGTCCCTCTGTCTAACTACCTCTTGGATATATTTAGATATCTTCCTCAAAATTTTAAATGTCCATAAGTTAGCTCAGTATCTTTCCCTCAAAATTTATTCTTTATTATCAGTTGTGGTCAATTGTACCACCTTGTACTCTGTCGCCCAAATCATAAACTTAGAGAACAGAACTGGGAAATACAGAGAAGCATTGCTGTGAGATCGACTGATTGCCTCCTGCATGTGCCCTGACTAGGACCTGTAATGGCACAAAAGCAGAAAGAGACAGAATTATTGGGAAGATAAACAGTACTATCTTTGGATGTTGTGAGGGAATACTTGAATTGTTGAAGTCTTCTAAGTTTAAAAGATTTAGACAACCCAATGATTGAGATAAGGAGATGATTTCACTTATTCGTATAGTGAGTCTGAGGTGTCCACTGGTCCCTCACTAGAAACTCCAGAGCACAGTCTGAAAGGAATTGGGAACAGAGATGAAATCTGAGTTGTGGTAATCATATCTAGGTTGAAGTGGTCTAGGGAAAAAAAAAAATTAAGGACAAACCAACAATTGGAAAACTCACAAAGGTGAGCACAGTTCTCTAGAAGACAAAAGAAAACTGGGAGTAGAGTCAAGAAAGTCCAAAAAGAAAGTGATGGTTTCGCATGGAGTGATCAAATATAAAACAAATGAGTTGAACTCACCTTGAAGGACATACATTTTGTAATATTAAACATACCATTAACCTGAATTAGACAAAATGTTAAGTTTAATGTATTTCCATCACTCCCTTGAAGGCTTGGAGACAAGTTCAGGAGCCAACAGGTTCACCAGTCCTATCACCAAACTCTTCAGAAATTCTGTCATTCTGTCATACATAGTTGACCCTTGAACAAGGGTTTGAAATATGCAGGTCCTTGTATATGGTTTGTGTTGGATGTTTTTAAATAAATACTAGCGATGTTTTCTCTTCCTTGTGATTTTTGGTTTGTTTTTAATCCTCCTTGAGGATATTTTTCCATTGATATTTTAGAGTGTGGAAGAGAAGGGAAAGGCAGAGAGAAATATCAATGTGAGAGAAACACATCCATTGGTTGCCTACATGCTCCCTATGACCAGGGCCCCAGCGGGGAGGAGCCCGCAACTAAGGTACATGTTCTTGACAGGAATTGAACCCAGGACTCTACAGTCCACAGGCCAATGCTCTACCCACTGAGCCAAACCGGCTAGGGCTGATTTTCTTAATAACATTTTTTCCCCTCTATTTTATTTTATTGTAAGAATACAGTATTAATACATATAAGCAAACAAAATACGTGTTAAATTACTGCTTGTATTATTAGTGGTAAGGCTTTCTGGTCCACTGAAGGTTATATTAAGTTTTGGAGTAGTCAGAAGTTACACAGGGATTTTCTCGATTGGGCGAGGTTGGTGACCCTGACACCCGACACACTTACACTGTTGGTTCAATGGTCAACTGTACTTTGGTGGGGGTGCAGGGGTTTAGGGGAAGGAGGGTCGTTATACCAGACATTTCAGTCTTCTGGGAACTCAGCCATCCTCCATCACAGCCTTGTAATAAACCAATTTGGACTGTCAGCCTGTTCACCACTCTGACCATCAAATTTCCAGAGCACCCCGTTCTCTTGTTCTCTTCATCCAACCAAACCACTACAGAAATTTCTGTGCTAACCGCCAACCTCCGCTCCCTCCCGGAGCCGCCAGGGGCTGCAGGCCGCTGCCCAGGGGGACCCCCCCACCTCTCCTTGCCTGGAGCGCGGGGAGCCGGCAGGGCAGTGGGCACGGGACCCAGGAGGCTGCTGCTGCTGCTCCGGTCGCCCGCGGCGCCGGACGTGCCCCACGGGGTGGAGGCGGAGGCCTTGGCCGAAGGGAGGCTCTGAGGCGTGGCCTGGAGTCCGAAGCTGTAGCGGGGCCCTTGTGACCAGGGCTCCGGGGACGACTGGGAAGCCGCAGGGGCTGAGGGCGAGGTGGATGAGATCTCCGGCCTCAGCATCCTCACACTCCGCAGGCACCGGGAGGCTTTGGAAAGGGCCCTCGCCCACGGACAGAGGCAACGTGGCCGGGACAGAAACGGACGCAGGAAAAGGCGGGAGCGCAGCGCGCAGGCGCAGAGCCGCCCGCGCAGGCGCAGAGAAGCAGGGAGCAGCCGCACAGGACTCCAGTTTCCCACACCTTTCCACGTCTTTCCTGCATCAGCGCCTAAGAAAGTACTCACAGTGGTTTCCAATCCCATCTCCTCCCACAGAATTTGGTTATGAGCTTAGTTTGAAGTACAGCCCTCCTCAATCTGCAGGTTATCACGTGAACAGAATTTATGGCTCACTAATGACCACTAGTCTCCTTCACGTGGTACCCTATTTCCCTCACCCCAAGGCCTAATTTAGTGTTTCCCACATACTCCCAAACACACTAGCTTCTTAAAAATATGGTTTTATTTTTAGAGAGGAAGATAAGGTAAAGGTTAACATTGATGAGAGAACTATCATCAATTGGCTGTCTCCTGGCACGCCCCCTACTGGGCATGGAGTCCCAAAGCCAGGCATATGTGCTGACCAGGAATCAAACTTGTGACCTGTTGGTGCATGGGTCAATGCCCAACTGATGCACACCAGCCAGGACCACACAAGCTCCCCTTTGATGCTCGCGTTTTATAATATACCTAACATTGGTCTTGTGGCTAAATACAGGAAAAAGCCAGAGACTGTTATCCTTCAACTATTAAGGGATAGGATGCGAACCAGGCAAACAGTGGAGCTCTCTTGAGAGAGATTTAAAAACAGCTCCAATCTCTATTTCTACTACTGTATTTTCACGCAGGTAATTTAGAAGCAAATTACAAAACTTCAAACTATGGTTTATCAACCAACAACCATTGGGAAATTAAGTTCTGTATCTGTTCAGTTTTCATGAATTTAAAGCCTTTCCAAAGTTTTATAAAAATTATAAGGTTGAAAAAAAAGTACTTTGGATACCATTAGACATTCATTTAAAATATTGAATTCATGCAATTAGCTAATAAATCAGATATCTACCGCATAGTTTACCCATATGCAGTGACCCTAGACATAGAAAAATACCATTTAAATATGTTCCATCCAGTGACCGCCAAGCTTTCAGAAAGTCTAGCAACTATCAAAATGCTATTTGACACTCACTAGAATCTAACGTAAGCACCTATAAACAAGATGTTAAAATTGACACTGATCAATTCGTTAACTACTCATGGAAAACTACTCCTAAAATGACTAGTACATAAGATATTACAACATTTTAAGACAAATTTCAACTTCCACCCAAAGAAAAAAGTTCATAGCACTCTCCTGGGAGCAGGCCTGCCTTTCACCTCCTACACCTGGCACATAACTTTTTTTTTTTTTAAATATACTTTATTTGCTGCCTTTTCCTCTTGCACACTCCCTACAGGGGATGTGCCCACAACCATGCCCTTGACCGGAACCGAACCTGGGACCTTTCAGTCCACAAACGCTCTACCACTGAGCCAAACTGGCTTTGGCCCTGGCACATCACTTTTAAGTGCTAGGGGTTCTTTGTATCTGTAACTTGTTTCTGAAGTTCTTTTCATCTATAAATTTATTTCTTCTATAATCTTACAAATGTTCTTTAAAAAGAATGTTTATAGAAATACTTTTTCACCAAGAATGCAAAACAGGGAATATAGTCTATCTGAAAACACATACACAAAAATATTGTTAACCATCTCCTTTCTCCTTGGGGGAGGGGCGAGGAGAAGGGAAGCCAACAACCCTTTGGTAGTCAGTAGCTGGCATTCTGACATAAAATGGTAAGAATTAGCATAAAGTGTAGCCCCGATTTCAATCATATTCTAAGATGATGAACTCTCATTTACCAAAATTACTGTGACCAATTCAGAATAACATAAGCCTATGAAATAACTCCCAAATTTTAAGTTTATTTCATTTTGTACATCTTTTTATTCATGTGGAGTATATCAATTTTTATCAGTAACAATTTCATTGACATAGACCAATTTACATGAACTATCATTACATAACATGGAGGAAGCACATGGGAAGACTTCATTAACTAGAGTTCTTAAACTGAAGATTACTATTAGGGAAATTTAAATACATTGAAGTATAAACAAAATATATTCAGAATGACAGCATTCTATAAGAAATGAAAAGCTGAAATTAGGCCTTTATTTTACAACATGTATACTTACATAATTAAAATTATCACAACTCATATACAAAATATTAACAGTAATTTTTAAGTATGACAAGCACTTCAAATTCAGAAATTTTAGGATGACTAAGCTATACTAAGCAGCTTTGCATCAATGAATCTAGCTCACTAGTTCAGGCTGAACATTCATTCTCCGAAGTACTTCTTCAGGCATGCAAAAAACAGGATTAACAGGTTTAATTTGTTCTTCTCCCAAAAGCGACAATCCAGCAATTCCAAATAAAGTATGAAAAGGATCCACCTATTAAAAAAATGAGAATTCAGATTATTACAAAATGAAAACTTCTAAAAACCTGAATGACGGTTATATTGAAGCCCATATTCAAATATTCTCTATTTGAATATATGCTTCAAGTTCTTTTAATAAAAATGGCTTTAAATTGTGATGTTAACCATACACTACTTGGAAATGTCATTAAGAAATTGCTGCAACCTTGTTTTACTATTCTTTGTAGTCTCAAAATTACAAAACACACACACACACACACAAAACAAACAAACAAAAAACACACTGCTTTCAAAGCAACACTAGGAAATACCATCCATTTCTAAGTCTGGAATAGCTGAGAACCATACAAGTAATGGAAAACACTGAAATGTAATTTTAACATGAGCATGTCAGAAATATACTTACCATATCTCCTGGCCTGTCTGCAAATCCTCCAGTTTCTTCATCTTGACATGCTAAGATGAAACTGCGCAGTTTCTCTCGATCAATCCAATGAAGTCTTCCTATTATCTTTAGGGAAGCTAACACCCACCATGAATAGCATACATCTGGTAACTAGGGGGGAAAAAAAGCCAAATGTTACCACAATTTTATCTAGTCCACTTAGGTCGGGATGGAGAGGAAACAAGGACTATACTGACATGCAGTATTTGAAATGCTGAAATTCATAAACACAACTGCTTAGAATTAAAGATAATCACTGGAAAAAACCAAACACTCCAGTCCATAGAAAGGCATGCTATGTGTTTTAGTATTTTGTGGGGGGGAGGAGAGAATCCCATCTACTTTTATTTCTTCTGCAATGAATGCTAACTCAGTCCCCCTTCCCAAATAGCTGGTAGTATGATGATGGATATTGCATATTACCAAGTAGAGCATTTTTCAACAAGTACTCCCCAGGTAGCTATAGATCTGCTAAAAAATCACCTGAAGCCTGGCCCCTCAAAATACCAGCCGGCATGGTTTAGTGGTTGAGCCTATGAACCGGGTCATGGTTTGATTCCAGGACAGGACACATGGGCTCAATGCCCAATGGGTCACATGCAGGAGATGGCCAGTGAAAGATTCTCATCACTGATATTTCTATCTCCCTTTCTCTTCCTCTCTGAAATCAATAAAAGTATATAAATGTAAAAATGTATGCAGAAGACACCACCTGAGGCTGAATATAATCTTCAATAATATCCTTGGGTAATTCAGTCACATTATAACCAGAGGGGAAGGGAGGCAAAAGGAGGAAAAAATGGGGGCACATTAATATCTAACAATAAAGAAAAACATTGTCCTACAATGTTAAAATGCTGGTTCCTGTCAATTGCCACCCTTAATTGTTGAAAGTTGCACAGGTTTCCCATAGGACCTTAACTAGAAACCACCTGTGGTTATTTTCCCTACCCCACTTAATTTATTAGAAATACCAAGCAAACAGTGATAAAAGAAGCAGTATAGCTGAAACCGGTTTGGCTCAGTGGTAGAGCGTCGGTCTGCGGACTGAAAGGTCCCAGGTTCGATTCCAGTCAAGGGCATGTACATTGGTTGCGGGCACATCCCCAGTAGGGGGTGTGCAGGAGGCAGCTGGCCGATGTTTCTCTCTCATCAACGTTTCTAGCTCTCTATCCCTCTCCTCCTCCTCTCTGTAAAAAAATCAATAAAATATATTAAAAAAAATAAATAAACCGGTTTGGCTCAATGGATAGAGCGTCGGCTTGGGGACTGAAGGGTCCTGGGTTCGATTCTGGTCAAGGGCATGTACCTTGGTTGAGGGCATATCCCCAATAGGGGGTGTGCAAGAGGCAGCTGATTGATGACTCTCATCGATATTTTTTTTTAAAATATATATATTTTATTGATTTTTCACAGAGAGGAAGAGAGAGGGATAGAGAGTTAGAAACATCAATGAGTCATCGATTTGCTGCCTCTTGCACACCCCCTACTGAGGTTGTGCCCGCAACCAAGGTACATGCCCTTGACCGGAATCGAACCTGGGACCCTTCAGTCCCCAAGCCGATGCTCTATCCGTTGAGCCAAACCGGTTTCGGCTCTCATCGATATTTCTAACTCTCTATTCTCTCTCCCTTCCTCTCTGTACAAAATCAATAAAATATATTTTTTTAAAAAATCTAGACTACCACCAAAGAATAGTTCTTTACATGTGTAGTTTTAAAAATGTTTAACAAAAAATCATATGAAGCACAAAAGTACCCATAATTTTACTGCAACAAAGCCATGTCCGTAATCTAAAGAATCCATGGAAGCATTTGCTCTTCAGGGCAGCAACAAGACAATAAATTACAAAGTTGGAAATATTTACTATCTGGAGCTTAATGACACAATTTAGAGCTTAATGTGAGTGACCTAAACAAAACTGGACTTAAGAAAAATTAATTTCCTTCCAAATCCAAGTGTCAAAAAGATTTGAAGAATTACATCAGAAGGCACCATACACATCTTTTTTTCAAAAGTGTATTTTAGATAGATACAGAGGAACCTATGCATATTACTAAGCGAAAGAAGCAATTCTGAAAATGCTACATCTATATAATGCCAACTATTTGCATTCTGAAAAAGCAAAACTATAGTAAAAAAAATCAGTGTTTTCCAAAGATTTGGGGGAGGCCAGAGGGGTGAATAGGTAAAGCATAGGGAATTTTAGGATGGTGACACTATTCTGTATCATACCATAAAGGTGGATACAGGATATTATGTATTTTTCAAAAGCTTTAGAACTGTACAATACAAATAAGTATTATTTTTTTCAAGGCTTATCTCTCCACCTGTATTATTTTCTTTCTTAAATAAAATTTATTGGGAGGACATTGGTTAATAAGATTATATAGGTTTCAAACATGCATTTCTATAATACATGATATGCATATTTCAATGCCCATCACCTGCCACTATATATTTAACCCCCTTGTACTTAACTATCGTTTGAACTCCCTTCCATCTGGGTAACCTCCAGTGTATCATTTAAATGGACACTAGGTTTAATAAGCATTTCAACCCTTCCTAGCTTACTTTTGCCAGGGCCTCTTTGTTTTCTCTCTCTCACTACAACAGAAGAATTATAATGGAAGGTAGAAAGCTAACTATCAATTTACAAGAGCAATATTTAAAAAGTTAAGATAAAACAGCACTCACTAAAATTATAAAACTATTAGAACACAATGTATTTTACGAAACAATACCTTCTCTGGCCTTCCATTCAGTCCACCTGAAGGTAACTGTCGTTCACAAAGCCACCAGCCAAGTAAATCAGAATTTACTTGGTGCAACTGATTAGTAATAGCCAGGAATCCTGTGCAACAATAGATCTAAAATTACAGACATAAAGTACAGGTGTATAATATAATCTGCAATAAGTGATAAAAACTACTCATTTTTATGTCTATAAATTTATTGACAATTGAACAGTTAGAATGGTAAACATGGAAATATCACATAATTATTTGGAGAAAAAAAAACTAAACATACTATCACTAGGATTCAATTTTGCAAAGAAATACTATTGTCAAAATTCTCTATGACTAAGATACTATTTTATTCCACAACTATTTTTATGTAGTATACAATGTTCTCTGGCACAAGCAGCAAATACAGAAACAATATGCTTTCATTTAGTTAAAAAATGATGGAGCCCAGGTCAGGTAGTTCAGCTGGTTAGAGCATCGGAATATGGATATGCCCAGATTTGAAGTTCAACCAATCCCTGGGCATTGCACGTAAAAGAATCAACCAATGAATGCAAATCGGTTTCTCTCTCTCCCTTCCTCTTTCACAATATTAACCCTTTGCACTCCGAACCATTCTGGACATTGGCTACCAGCTACTTGATGCTACTTTGCGAAATGTGCGTTGAATTAACTCAATTCCCCGTAATCACTAATAAACTGCAATGTCCCCTGAGAGGGGGACATCCGAGTGATATGCTAGAATCCCGATGTCCCCTGAGAGGGGAGAGCGGAGTGCAAAGGGTTAAAATAGATATATATAAATACTAATGGAAAATCAAATGTATTTTGGTGATTACAAGCATACTTATGTTTGACTGGGTCAGAGTGTTTCACCAATAGGTGAATGTATATAAAGCAAACTATTATTAAAAAAAAGGTGGGGGGGCCCTTCCTTAATAAGCAATTAATCAACTATAATACAACATCCCACATTATATTATATTATCTTAACTTCATATGTAACGAACACTGAAATTGCTATTAATATATTTTAATCTGAATTAGTGAATTACCTGCCCAGCATGGGACTCAGAACCTGGCCTACAGCCAAATCCACCATCAAAGTTCATACATGATAAAACAAATTCAATTGCCTTTTCCACATTAATAGCATCCAGCTTCCCCTATAAACAAACAAAAAAAATGCCTATTAAACTCCAGAGTAAATATGGACACTAAGTAATTCCAATATAAGTATTCCATAACTTACCAACAGAGCCAAAGTTGCCACAGCACAAAAAGAGAATCTTGTATCAATTTCTCCTAAAAAATAAAGGAATCAAACCAACTTAAGTGTTACTAAAGACTTCTGGATCATAACATACTCAAGTATAATTACTATGGTTAAAACATAAAATTTACTTGTAGGTCTCCAGAAGGAAAGATAAATCTAAAGTGAAATCATTTGACTTCTAAGAAAACTAAGATCTAGAAAAATGCTTTGACAAATTATAGCAAATTATCTGAGTTGTTTACACAGTACCCAGAGAGGGAAGGTAACTGAGCCAAAAGGACTAGTCATTTTCTAATAATGAACTTACCCTATTACATATAAGTAGATTTTCACATCCCATGAAGCAGCTGGTCTCTCCGGCCTGCACTGTGTTCAGCCCTGAAGTAGAGATTATCTAATTTATCAAGTAAAATGCTATTCCCTCCCTCCACTCAAATACACTGTAAAATTGTAGTTTTGATTATCTTTTCGTTGCGTTTTTTTTTTTTAAAGAACTTTACAAACCCACCAAATATTGGGGGGTGGGGAAATTTCACCTACCTTATCTTTTAGACTGACCCCCTCTGTTCCAGTGCTCTTCTAGGCTGATATAACTAGCACAGTGCATGTATTAACTCCAGTTAGACCAGCTGCTTAGTGGGACCTGAAAAGATGAAAAACTTTTTTTAAAAAAATCTCTTATAAAAATACGTAGCAAAGCTATTACAATAAACCCAAAACATTTTAAGATTGGTATTTTTGATAGCATGAATTAAAATGACATTACCCCAAATATCTCCAGCAAAAGAACCATCTTCTTTCTGTAGACTCTGAACATATTCCACAACTTTATTTACATCAATAACATTAACACTATCATATAGAGTAAGAATCTGTAACAACAAAAAAAAAAGTTTAACAAATACATCTTCAACTCTAGTTGATTCTAATGTTTTTTTTCAACTACCTTTTAAGTCCTTTTGTCTGGGTATATTATAAACTTTTCTCAAACATGCAAACTATCTATGCAATAAAATTATAGGTATTAACAAATCCAAAATTCTAAATGCATTTTTCTACATATAAATTGCAACTTAAAAATTTTAACTCTTAAATAGTCTAACTTAGGTAGACTTTAAACCTATACTTATTTGTGGGATCTTCAGTATGAAAATTGAAACATTTAACTCCACCTTGTGATTTTCAAATATTTACATACACTAAGCATTTTACCATCCAAGGTCTCAGTGTAATTTTATAATTTACATCAACTTTGAATTCAGCTAATACATGCCATCACATCATTGACCTTGTTAAAAATACTTCATTTGCAAAACTTAAGGTTATTTTTGACATACTAATTTTATCACTTTCGTGGTTTCTAATTTCCCCACTCAGGTAGAGCATACACTACCCAGGATTGCCAAATTTTAATCATTATTTACCTGGACAGCACTCAGAGTGTACAAAAGATGAGGATCATGTCCAATACTAGCACTTATTCCACCACACTCGTGTTGACATGACTTAATAAACGCCAGAATTTCTTCTCTATTCATGCGGTTTAGTTGTCCCATAAGATCCATTACAGTCAGACCCCAATAAACGCCGCTCATTCTCAAGTACTCCGACATACAGTACTCCTAAAATACATAATTACTTTAATGTGTCAGTTTGAATTCATGCTGGGTCAGAAACAAAAGATTTAATCCTACCAATAAGGAGTTTAAATGTGTGGCTCTCAAGTTCCACTAGCTGAAAAGCATAATAAACTCACTTCTGACTGACCAAATAGTTTTAACTCTTCCAGGAGCCAACCGTAAGTATATTAGAAAACCTGCTTTTTTTTTTTTTTTTAAAGTTTGGATAGAACATTTCTTTCAGCCGAAACCGGTTAGGCTCAGTGGATAGAGCATCGGCCTGTGGACTGAAGGGTCCCAGGTTCGATTCTGGTCAAGGGCATGTACCTTGATTGCAGGCACATCCCCAGTGGGGGGTGTGCCAAGAGGCAGCTGATAGATGATTCTCTCATCCATGTTTCTAACTCTCTATCCTTCTTCCTTCCTCTCTGTAAAAAACCAATAAAATATATTTTAAAAAAAGAACATTTCTTGCAAGAGTATCTAGGATGACTCTAATTACATGGTAATGGGAACATATTACTTAAAAAAAAAAATCAAGAACTTATCAATACTAGGTGTTTTTCATAATCCAGCTGTTGAGACACTAATGTGAAAAATATTTACTTTCAGGTGAGTTGCTCACTACCCAGTGAAGAATTACTCCACATTGTTTGAAACTCGAGGTAAAAGTTTTTCAAGGTCTCAGCGTAATTCTAGAGCTAGTGTCATTACACATCAGCTGTAAATTCAGATAATACATGCCAAAACATCATTGACCTTGAAAGTATTACCTCAACTATAAAAGTAGAAATTTATTCTGTACCTCAAACCTCTTATAATGGGCCATAAATACTGACCCACTGACTGTTCACGGAGAATAGTATTCTCTGAAACTTTCAACATAAAACCATACATACATAATCATCTTTCTTTGAGCCATAGGATGCGATATAATCTGCATGCTTCTCCAATAAGAGGGTGTCAGGTGCATCTGACTTGATGGTAACATCCTTCTGTGGTGTGCCCTTTCAAAATAAAAGTAGTGATTTCATTAACGTTTTATCTTTTCATGTCTGACCCCACAGCACATTCATTTCCCCCCAACACACATCTGAAGTTCAAGCCCTTGTAATGTCTCAGGTATTTTTCAGGTCTCAGAGTAATTCTAGAGCTAAAGTAGTCGTAATCAACTTTAGATTCAGAATACATGCCAGCTCATCATAGACCCAAAAAAAAAATTGCCTGTATTTATTGCTTTATCTTTCCCTTAAAGAGTAAAATAAACACCACGGAGTATCAACGCTCACAAATTCAGGGCAAGTTATGGTTTACATGTGGCAATAAGCAAGCGGATGCATTAACACACCTACCTCGACAATAACATGCAATTAACCTAGAAACTCGGTTTTTCCAAAGAACTTTCTACACATCCAAATTACCGCACTGCTTACGCAAGCAGTCCCTTTAGCCCCAGGCTCTCCGGCTTTCCCCCTGCTTCTGAATTTGTAACAGGCCCCCAGGTGACGAGGACGGTCTTATTCTCCCCATTAGCTTCCTGACAGACACTGAATTGTATCCATTTTTAAGTAGGTCATGACGATTACTAAAAATAGTAAATTTCCTTTTAAATCCCATTTATAATTTACTACCATACCCGTTACGATTCTAGAAAGACTGAGCCACTAAATACATCTATATAGAGAAGGATAAAAAAGCAGCGCCTATTTGGTCTGGTTTTGTGGGGTTAAAAGTCGGGCCTCTGAATCCCGAGGCCCGCCCGACAGGAGGAGGCCTGGATAAAATCACGGGCTGCAACCGCACCCGCGAGGTCTGCAGGACACGCCGAGCAATAGTTGGGCCTTTCTGGGCTCTCAGAAACCTCTCAAGGCCCGTAGCTTAACCCAAACATTCTCCAATGCTTGCTAAGCCACACTACAATCACTGAGCAGCTAAATATCACGCTGTGCGGCCTCCACCCCGACCCGGCCGGATGGCAGCGAAAAGCACAACCACACTCACCATGTCCGTGAACGAAAAGAGAACTCGGCCAGCGCGAGGGCGGATATACTGGGCACGCGCATGCGCAGAAGCAGCCCTCAGGTCCCCTCCGCCGCCCCACGTAGTTGACTAAGCTCCCGCCTGTTCCATTGGCTACCCTAGGACCCCACCGGCTGCTTATAGCTGCCTTCGCTGCCTGTGTTCAAAGGCTTTGCCCCCCTCCCTCCTTTTTACTAATCTCATGATCCCACCTTTGCTCTGAAATAGTTTTAAGTAATACTATTTCAATTAGTACTTTTAAAAAAAACTCTTTTTCCCCCAATTGACCTCTCTCCGCCTCCTTCCCTCTCCCTCCAACCCCCCAACCCCAAACTGCCTCTTTGAACACTGAGGATCTGAGCTAAAACCGGTTTTGCCCAGTGGATAGAGTTGGCCTGTGGACTGAAAGGTCCCAGGTTTGATTCCGGTCAAGGGCATATACCTTGGTTGTGAGCATATACCTTGGTTGCGGGCATATCTCTGGTACCGGGTGTGCAAGAGGCAGCTGATGGATGTTTCTAGCTCTCTATCTCTCTCCCTTCCTCTCTGTAAAATATCAATAATATATACATATATAATTTTTTTTTTTAATGAACACTGAAGATCTGAAATGACTAGTGGTTAGAGTTCTTGCACATTGTAAGTGTTCATTGTTTGCAGTGACTATTAATGAGATGTTCCAGTCCCCCCCTCCAATTTGCCTTGTCCTGGGTCCAGCTCTCCACTTCTTCAGGAGAGGGAGAATAGCAGAAGTATTTGGAAATTACTTTAGAAAAAGAAAACATCCCTGTGCCTTTTAAGAGCTTTCCACTGAAATCATATTGTTGTGCTTTCTTAGGTCTACTATTTAAGCCTTTTTGAGCACGCATTCAAAAAAAAAAAATTGTCACTCCCATTAAAATGAATTGCATTTGTTAGGGGCAGAAATAGGATATTGGGAACTGGCTATTAGTTATAAGAAATAAAATAAGAACTATTAATCACACTCTGTTAACCATGATTGTCTTGTTCTGATTAAAGAAAGCACATTTCAACCTGGCTGGGAGTTGTATGCCCTGGGACATGGGAGCCAACCTTGCCATACAGGCCGTCCTCCTGTCCTGAGAACTGCCTATCATCATGGGAAGATTTACAACCTCGTGGCTGAAACAATCTAGTCCTGGAGGCACCTGTTCTTTACAACCCCCAGCATCTATTACCTGTAATCTAGTCCCACAGCATCCAGCGATACCTGCCTTCTATGACCATCTACCTCCCCCTACCTCAGTCCACATGACTTATAACCTGTAATGATTATCCTGTGCCTACTTTCCCATACCTGTAATTCCTACTTGCCCACATAATCTTTGTACTTCTACTCAATATAAGCAGCTGGCTTATGGTGAGGTCCAGAGCATATTTTTGTGGATGACCTGCAGCTCTCCCCTACTGCTGGCATTATTGGAATAAATGCTCCTATATGATTCAACCATGCCTCTGCTTAGTTGGCTCAAGTAGTGACAGGAAGCCTGGAGTACTGGGTTGTCAGTTTACACATTCAGTAGCGATTTGGTGAAGGGCTCTGCACAGTGACTTCCATAATTGAGAATGTTGAATCAACGATGATAGCTTCCATTGTTTCTCCCTTTAATTTTGTTGATATTTCCATTTATTGTTTGAAGTTCCATTATTAAATGCATGCAAGTTTATAGTTATCTATTTCTGTGGTTTCAGCCTTTTGTCATTAAATCAGATGTGGGAGGAGTAACCAAAGGAGAGGGGGCAGTGGTCAGATCTACTTGGTAAAGCAATGTTTTAAAATAAGAATAATACAAGTATCAGATCTAAAGAGTAAGATTAAGACTGACTCAATAATTGCTGAAGGAATGAAAAATAAGCCGCAGTTCCTATTTTATAAATTTATTCAAAAATATGTATTGGATGCCAAATATTAATCTAGATTCTGGGAAACAATGGTGAACAAAATGGAAACATTTTTAGGTGTACCAGAACAAAGAGGGCCGTTTGCCTGTGCTCCTCAAAGCCCAATAAGACATGAACAAGCGTTTGCAGCCAAGAAAGTAAAGATTGATTCAGGTGCCATACCTGAAGTCCCAGGTAGCTCATACCCAAACATCTGGCTCCCTGATGGCTTCTAAAGGATAGGTTATAAAGGGGAACAATCAATAATCATGGTGACGGAGTTAGTAAGGTAACCAGACGTCCCACTTTTGGCAGGATAGTCCCGATTTTTAACAATTTGTCCCACATCCAGCAGCGTTTTTGAAAAGTCCAAAAGATATATAAGAATCTTTCCAAAAATCAGGACTTTTTTAAAACGCTGCAGGACCGTGGGACAAATTGTTAAAAATCGGGACTGTCCCCCCAAAAGCGGGACGTCTGGTCACCTTAATTGGGTCATGGTGAGAGTCCTGGTCTCTACTAATTGGTCAGCCTTAGGGTGGGGGTGGGGTAGTTGAACACTGCATCGGATCCTGAAAGTCAACCATGGCATTACTGAGTCTGGTTTCACAAGCATGTGGTCAGTCAATGGGATTGTTCTGGAGCTGAAACTCAACTGAGGCCTAGATGTTTTCTCTAGTTTAACTAGTTTCTCTGTGGTCAACAATCCTGAGGCTTTGTTCCTAAGACTACTGGATGCTGACCAGAACCTCTTTGGCTTAAGGACTAAGCAAGGGAAAGGGAGGGAAGTGAGTTAGGGTGCTAGGAGAGGCCAGTTCAAGTCAAAGGAAAAAAGGGGGTGGGAGGCATATTAAAGAAAATAAGGTTTCTGCGTTTTATTACATAGAGAGCATATGTCCTAGCAATTCTTGTAATAAATTCAACAGTTATATTTCTAAGTACCGTATTTTTTGGACCATAAGACGCACTTTTTTCCCCCCCAGAAGTGGGGGGGGGGGAAATCCCTGCGTCTTATGGTCCAAATATAGCCTACACATATACTTTAAAAAAAAAGGTTTTTTACTTGCCCGGCTCTGTGTGGTCTGTGTGCTTGCCCGGCTCTAAAATGGTTCTAAATGCTGCTGTTTACTTTACAGGGTTGATTACATGTGTTTATGACTGTGATGTTGGGTTTTAATGCACATAAAATATTTTAGGACACTATTTGTTTCAGAATCTTTTTTTCTTCATTTCCCTTCTCTAAAAACTGGTGCGTCTTATGGTCCGGTGTGTCTTATGGTCCGAAAAATACGGTATTTCTCCTACAAATATACTCACTCACCTGGGTATGAACTTGTGGCAGAATGGTAAGAACCTAGGGAAATTCCTGGGCAAGTAGAAAAGAGGAACCAATCCAAAACCGGTTTGGCTCAGTGGATAGAGCGTCGGTCTGCGGACTGAAAGATCCCAGGTTCGATTCCGGTCAAGGGCATGTACTTTGGTTGCGGGCACATCGCTAGTAGGAGATGTGCAAGAGGCAGCTGATGGATGATTCTCTCTCATCGATATTTCCAACTCTCTATCCCTCTCTCTTCTTCTCTGTAAAAAAATCATTAATTTTTCTCGGTTTCTCTATATATAAAGAATAGAGAAACTGAGATAAGAAACTTAAACAAAGCCAAATAGTTTGGGCAGCTTGCATCCAAGTTGTGAAATGAAAGACCTTATCTTGTCCAACCAAGAACACTTGAGAGGAAGTGATTAATATCTCTCCTCCTTAACCAAAAAATACATAGCTTAAATCACCTTGGAACTGCTAAGGCAGGAGGAGAAAAGGGGGAAGGAAAAAGAGGAAATTTGTCTCACACACTATACAAAGAAGTCAGCTGCCTTAGGATTTGCCATACAAGACATCTGGTGTTTGTATAAGCATTCTAAAATAAGCCACAACGATGTAGCCCAGGACTTTGAAACCTAATCTGCTACCAAGATATCTGACAGAGGAACCTTGAAACTTATAGGGAGAAGGGGAATAAAACCCCTTGAACCCCCACTGGACATGTGCTCAGATTAGCTGGGTGGTCCACTTTTACTATATGCAAAGTATATTTTTAATACATTTGCTTGCTTTGCTTCAACACTGCTGTCACTTGTCTGAAAGCTTTCTTAGGAAACCGACAAGAACTGAGGAGGGGGCAGCTCTCCCTCTCCAGCTAAGGGGGCTGTACCATAACAAAGTAACTTATGTGCAAGAATATTAAGCTGCAGTTTTTACAACGGCAAAAGATTACAAATCTTTTCATTAACCATCAAGGGCTACATAAACTATGTAATATTCATTATGCAGCCATTAAAAAGAAAGAGGAAGCTCTGCCTACATTGCTTTGGGAAGATCTCCAAAATAAATTAATTGAAAACAAAACCAGAAAATGCTAAGCTACATATAGTATGCTTCTATTTGTGTGGGAAACAAAGGAAAACATATATGGATATACTTGCACATGCGCAGGATTACTAGAAGTAGTTGCCTACAGAAGGAGAAATGGTGGCTGGGAACAGGATTTAAGGAAAGCTGATCTTTCACGGAATATTCTGTACTTTTGAAATTTGGTATGTTTTTGCCCCTTCAAAAAGTTAAAATGTTCCCCCTGCCAAAGAAAGATAACTACAAAAAACACACCCAATATTAATTAAAAACAAATTCATCTCCACCTTCAGACCTACATTGACCAATATAACCACATGGGGCTATTGAAATATGGCCAATCTGAATTGAGATATGTTTTAAATTAAATGCACACCCCTATTTCAAAGACCTAGAAGTAAAAATACAATAGTACAAAATATCTCATTAACAATTTAAAAGTATTGATTGTTTAAATGATATTTTGAATATATTAGGTTAAATTCTTAAAATTAACTTCACCTGTTGCTATTTACTTTCTCAATGTGTCTGTATGTAAAGAACTCTAATCAGTTAAGAATTTAATGCCCTCTGAGAAGGAGAACAGTTCTTTGATATATGGACCCATAAGTTTACATGTGGATGAAGTTGTAGAAATAATAAGTCCTCAATGTGTCTGTATAGCTATAATATGTCTATAATTATACATCTATAAAAT